ATCGGCCACAGCATGCGTTGCACTCTATGCTGCCTCTGGCTGATAAATCACGTTACCAGTATTACTTGCTTGTCCTTCACCCTCCTTCACCGCATCAATGCCTGTTTTTTTACCTTGTTTGACAACCACAATAAAATGACTGGTCTTTCTAAAGAAACTTCTGACACTCAGCTTCCGGGACATTTTGATAGCTAGGCTATGTAGCAATATTCACTACCAATGCAATGGCTAAAGCCAGCTAGATAATGAGGTCATGGACGTCAGGTCAAAGACAAGACTTCTAGACAACAGCTGATCAATATGCACACTCGCACCAACTGGACAGGGGTTCTACATGCGGTTATTGGCAGTGTTACATGTAACTAACAAAACGGTAGATCGCCTTTAGCCTCTGTCAAAATGACAGACGGCCTTTAGATTTTTCCGTTATTGATTTGTACAGTACTCTCCCACCCTGACCCCAGAAAAATAGGGTCTCCCTGAAAGCCACCATGTAAATCAAACCCAAAACACCCCCTGGAGAAAACTAATGAAAAACAAATTAATAAAACTTCTTTCTTTCTTGGAAATATGCCTTTTTCACAGCAGACATTTAGCTTCTTATAACATTAACATTCACAGTGGCTCTGTTTTGTGACACTGAGCCGGCATGCCATCATTAAATGTAGCCTATTGTTTACACCTGTGCTTTTCATGCTGTGATTCTGGGAAAAGGGCCTGTTACATCGACACACTGACAATATACCTACTGATTTCTCTCCAAAATGTAATTGTCATTTCAGTTAAGTTTTTCTTTAATTACTGCTATTCTGTCAGTTTAATGCAGTGTAGTGCCAATTGGTTCCAGATGCAGTGTAATTCCATAGTCCTTGGTCAATTAAATCAAACTGGTGAAAAAGGAATGCTAATCTGGGAAGATGAATAGGACTGTTGTGTTTAACTTCAAAGACATTATTGTGTTACATCTCCACCAGTATTTTAATTAACTGGGTCAAGGACCACATCTCCACTCCATTGTGCCAGTTTGAAAGAGGCTGTTATGCATAAACAATCAGTTCTGCCCGCCAGTCCTGCGTGTTATCTGATCACTGTCACCTGGTTCAGAGAAAGGGCACAAAATCCTTTTGGGTTTTTTTTACATTTTGAGACATTTTGTGTGGCCAGCTGGGGGCAGTGAATGAGGAGACAAATATGATGTGGCAGCCATCTTTATCAGGGGAAACGCTTCAGTCATTATTTAAGATGACTCTGTAGGGTGTTTAGATGCATAAGTGGATCCTTTTAAAAAGCCAGATGTTGCTTTTCTGACTGTCGATTTTGTAACCAGAGGGTCAAAGAAAGGGGTGTGCAGAGGAGGAGAGAGAGATGAGGAAGGAAAGAAACAGAGACTATGTAAAGGTACCAGATAGGCCGATACAAGCTGTATACAGACAGGCAGCTGCATCTAATCCCCAAAGAGAAAGGGGAGGAAAGAAGGAAGCACCACCAGGAGGGGAAATAGAGTTTTGTGGTTACAAGAGAGTGACTGCCCACTTCACTGGCATCTCTTCTCCTATGATCTGCCATCCACTGGCTCATATTCTGGGCAACCATACCCAGAATATGAGTCCAGCCTGCCAACCTGCTTCTTGTTCTGCATCTGCCCCTTTCACACTCAGTCATGCCTGCAGCTAATGGGTTTATTCTGTGTAAGAGTTCAGCTGTTTGCTTACGGATTCTGTAAAACATGTGAATCAGCTTCAAAAGCAGTCCGAGTGTGTATTTATGGGTCAGTGTGAACACACATTTTCAATCCTTTTTCTGTGCGATAGAATACATTTTCAGCCAAACAGATTTTCAGCCATGTAAGATGTATATAATTTCATTGTCACTACTTTAATATTTATTTTTAAGTAATCAAGGATTGGGTAAAGGGTATTTAAGTGTAGATTTTAGGTAAGAATCCAAATCAAGTCACAAAAGCAAACAAATATAGCAGCAACAACTGTTTTTTAATTCTGAAAGGTAGTGCATCACATACTGTTCTTAATTACTTTACAAACATTTTACCACCATTATTTATCTTAAGTAAATCCCTAGTCCTTAGTTGCTACTTTCCATATGTCCCTGCCAATGGGTAAAACACTGATCATTTTCAGAGTTTTGCCTTTCCCTAACAAAATTAAAAGCTCATGCAGTCATTGGTGTGTCATTGCCTGCAGGGTTTCAGGGGCCCATTTTCTAATTTTGAAAATAGTATGAATGAGAAATTAACATTTTCCCCTTCACTCCTGAATAACGCACTTTTCTACAAATATGACTTTGTCCAACATTATTACTGTGCAATGTGAGGGCCAGCTGGTTATTGATATGAGCTGAGGAGCAGGTACAGTGGCCGGGTTAATGAGGGTCAGAGTCACTGCTGGCTGTCAGAAAGCTGAAAGCAGGGAGGATCCAGTACATATTAACACAGTTAATTGTGGCTCTAATGCAACATTGCCTACGGCTGCCCTCTCCTTGTAAAAGACCTGAACCGTACCAATTGCCCTGTCTCTTAGACCATCTCATGAGGTCTTGACCAGCATCACTATTAACACAACACTTACAGTGACTTATTTGACACTAAAAAAATCATTTGAAATAATAGAACAATATAAGCCAATCTAACAGGAAAACATTTGTCCTTAAAACATTTGTGGAGAAAGGTGTATGTAGCTGGTAGAAACTGTGGCTCCCATGTGAGTAAACATCTAAAAGTAAAACTTCAAATCACTGTTGAAAAATAAATCTGTTTTATGAGATGACCACTATGGAAGGTTTTTAGTGAGACTTCTTGGAGTGACCTGCAGACTGGTCTCATCTTCGGTATGGCAGAAGCGAGGGATGGAATGACTTCCTGTGTCCTGTTCTTCAGGGTGTATACTTGAGCTAGCTCAGAGAATGTGCTGTCGGTGTACATTTTAAGTTAGTACTGCACCATCCATAGGTGTCATTTACACTGGGGACGCTGGGGACATGTCCTCACCACTTTTTGAAATGTCTGATTTGTAAATATTTTTAAAGCATAATTGTATTTTAAATGTTCTGAAATATAGCTTGAGGTTAAATAACAAATGTAAATGCCTTTAGAAAGGTTTATTTGCACATTAAGAAAACATGAAATGCAATTAAAATACAGAAGAAACAATTGTCCAAAAAAAATAAGCTCCTCATTATAAAATGACCCAAAAACAACAATTTCAACAATTTCTTGACAGAGTTTCTGTGTGGCCAAGTTTTCTGTTCTGCCCCTTTGAACATGACAAAGGAGGAGGGAAGCCTAAATCATGCCTACACATGTGTTGCCTCAGCAGGGTTGATATATTGAAAAGTTGATCTACAGGAAAACTAGATCTGAAAGCAACACAGAATGCCTGAGAGCTGCACTGCATTATATTCTATTATACATATTTTGAAAGTTCACCTGCCACCATAATTTTGTGTTTCCTTTTTCATAAATATAAACATTCCCACCATAAATTTGTGCAGAAACTTTCACTAGAATGCAGGAATTGAAATGTTTAAAGATCAAAATTCCCTGGGGGAGGTCCCCCCAGACCCCCCACTTGGCATTGAGGACATTTTTAAAACACTGTTTAAGGATCTTTTCATCTCCTACTCGTGAACCTAATATCGTGTATTGTGATGTCTCGTGAGCATAGTGTCTCTTCACACCCCTAATCTCAGCCCCTATGTCCCCACCGCTTTTTCAACACAAAGTGATGCCCTTGGCACAATCTAAAGATTTTGCTAGTTGACTAGTAGTTGTTGGTTCAAGCCATTGATGTGTATGATATTAATTTAATTATTGAAATCTATACAGGACTTTGGGGGCAGCAGAACATGGTTTGAGTTCCGGAGCTGAGAAAGAATGTTATAAGTAACACTGTTAACACTGCGCAGAGAAAAACAAAACCGTAATAATAAGCTTAAATATATATCTTACAAGACACATGAAGAGAGCCAACTGTAAAATGGTAATGACAAAAGTGATAATGATTTGATGACGTCGGAAACTGAACATGTTGTTTTTATTTCAACACAGTATAACAGCTTATAAGTCTTTTTGTTCAAAACACGGAAATAAATAAATTCCAACTTCACAAGAACAAATACTTGCCGACTTAATTATTGCTTTAACACAAATTTGTAGGATGAATATATTTCCCTGTTCTTTTTATTAATTTATAACCTGACTACATGCCTCCCATCAACAGTATGCTACCACACACATATAAACAGTACATTGACATAAAGATTATATATCTAGTATAGTCCAATCTGAAAATATACATTTAAAAAATGGTATTACACAGATTTGTATTGGTGGGAATTTTTACTTACTTCATTTCTAATTGACAGATATAATTACTTGATACAATTTTGTAGAACAGCTGATGACAGGTAAATTAATATTTGATTATTTAGGATATTACAAGAGATTACATCATGATGAGTGATGAACTATTTAAAGATATGACAATGATCAGCTTTGTATAAAAATACAGTCCCTATTAAAATGAATTAAGCTGTGAATTTGACAGTCGAAATAACAAATTTGTGCTTAAATTAAATTTCTAATTGATAGTGTTTTCATACCTAGAGCAACAGGTTCATTTAGATGAAGTTGTTGCCGGAGAGCTGTTCTTTAAAGTGATGCTCATAATTAGAAGAATCCTAGTTCGGAGGTCATATTGTGTATGTTTCTGACTGCACCTCATGTCAATGAGTTTTGACTTTTGTGAGGATTCATGGCCATCTGTATCGAACCTGTGATAGCTCTTGCACCAGAAACTTGACAAAAGTCTTCAATGACAGTAGGTACTGCTTTATTGTTGTTGGTGCCTTTCCAGATGCATATAATGTCATGACCCATCTTATAAATGCATAAAGATACAAATCATCTGAAACCTAACTGCTCTTTTGGGAAATGAAAGATCAATTTTGATTAGATCCACATTTTCCCTGTCTATATATTTCAGATGGACTGCTGGCTGCCCCTCTCTTCCTCCCCATATATGGTGAATCAGGTCGGTTACATGGCATGCTGTCGGACCCATGTTTTCAGTTTTTTCCCATGTTACCATAAACTCAAGGTTGCTTCTTTGATTGGGGTATAAAGTAGAGTAAAATGGGTGACTTTTTGTACTATTGATAAACCTATGAATATTTTGAATTCAGTGCTTGTTATTGCTTTAATGTAACAGACCATGGCCAATTTTATTACCTCACACCTACTGTGAACTACTGTAGCAACTGCTGCACAGAGCTGGGTGATAATTACCAATATGGTTTATACACAAATGTGCCAAATATGCTTGAAAATTTTACAACAAATAGACTTGCAAAGAAAAACATAAAGCTTTTAAATCAGAACTAATCAAAGGTGGTAGATATTTATTTGGTGTATATTTGAGTAGAGGTGTCTCTACAGTCTCTCTGCAATTAATTATCTCACAGGAAATTAATCAAAGGAAGGGATAACATCATCAAAAAAAATCAAAATGTTTTTGTAGTTGTTTCTCCCCTCCAAAAAAACCTGCTGACCTATTACTGATTAATGAGATTTCTTTGATGGTGGTAATTTGATTTGGGACATTTTCCCAGGGGGTTTGGTCGAGGGCTCTGGGTTTTTCTCATTTGTCCAGGCATCATTTTTCTAGTTTGGTGCCTCAAGGTGTTTTTTTTCTTCATTTTTCATTTCTGTGGGGCCATATCCTCTCTATTATATTATCTCTCCATCTGTGTGGGTGGCTCATCAGAGCAACTAGCTGTACCGGAGAGGTGGGAGTGACAAAATGGCTGCTCTCCCAGGCAATGCTCTCTCTTGCTGGGCAGCTTCAAAGTATTAGTAGTTTAATTTAGCTTTACATTATGTTACAACACACATACTTACATTCATCTGTACATTACTTACACCACAGACTTCTTCCATATTTCCAAACCCATCTTATTTTCTTCTTTTATTATATATTATAATAATTCGGCTTCTAAAACCTTAAATGTTTCTCTTCATTGTTAAGTAGTTACTTTGCTCTGTGGGGAGATAAATACATTTTATGTGTGTGTTTTTTTGTCTATTACTTTTAATATTTTATTTTATTTTTAAAACACACACATTTTTACTGTTTTATTTATTTTATTTTATTTATTTGATGAACCATTGGAATTGAATTCACAGCACACACACAGGCTTACTGATTTATTTATTTATTTTTACACACACAAACACACACACACACGTTTTATTTACTTAATCTTAATGAACTGCATGAAATGAATTGTTCTTTTGTGATTTATTTGTAACTTTGGCAATATTGTTGTTTTACATTCATGCCAATAAAGCTGAACTGAATTGAAAATGCTCACTGCAGAGACCAGCTAACCTCCTTTACATGGCTTTAGAGCTGCTTTAACATTTGAGCAGCAGAAAGAACTGTAAATGTTACAGCATTAGCAGGCATTGGAGCATGAGCAATGTGCCAAAGAGTAGACTTTTGAACTTGAGAAGCTAAGGCTAAATGTCCAGCTACGTGAAGCTAAACTAAAGCAGGAGCATCAAAGCTCATAGCTTACAGCTATCATCTGCCTTGGTATAGTATATTTTGGGATTTGGGCTTGCCAAGTTTTGGTGATGGAATATAACGTCCTCTGACTTATCTGATTCTGTGATAGCAGATGTCTTTTACCCCACTGCACTGTCTTCATCTAAATCTCTTATCATATCTGGCTTCGTAATGTAATGTATCCCATGGTAGAAGACCAGAGGGCCAATGCTGCTGAGTTGTTGGAGGGATGACATATTGCAAATTGGGCTGGCTATATTCACTGTAAGCACAGGACTCCAGGAGCCAGTACTATAACTGTAAAGAGAGCCTTTCCATCATGGTCTTGGCTGTTGTTGAAAGCTACCCCTTCCAAGTCAGTGATGTTGGTGCCTCTGGCAAGAAGACTAATTCTGGTTCACTCTGTGAATCAGCCTTTAGACAGAGACTAGGACAGCACCCTGGTAATTCCAACACCTAGACCTCCAGGAGCTGAGGCACAGTCTGGATGCCAGAGACCCAAAGACCCAATAATTTTTTTTTAATGATTAAAGACAGTAAAGATCATGACTGGTGGTTGACTTTTGGCATTTCACTGGAGGATTTATCAAACATGAAAAAGCCACATGTGCCCACCACAGCTAGCACTGGGGGACTGCCCTGAAGCCACCAAGTATGAGTTGGCCATGGCAGGTGATAACCTGTCCATTGTCACCAGCAGACACTCAAGGGAAGTAATCCAAAAGGGCAGGGAAGGCACAGAACACTCAACACAGACGACACAGATAATGCGGACAATACAAGGACGTGGCCAAGACTGAAGAAAACTGGGGACAATATATACACAGGTAAACGAGCAGGGAGGGAAGCACAGCTGAGATACATCAGGTAATCAGACAAAGCTAGACAAGGACACCAGGTACAGAAGGTTACCAAAATAAACAGGAAGTAAAGTTCACAGGAACACACAAGGACAGATGTACCAAAGTAAAATGCAAAAACATGGAAAGACAGCAAAATCAGGACACAGACAGAGACGGGACCAAACAGGAGACAAGACTACCCTAAAACATGAAGATAAGACTAAGGACTAAGACAGACCATAATGAGAAAATACAGAAGTACACCGATAAGGAAAACACTAAACATGAACTAAAGCACAGGACCAAGAACTAAGATGAGCGATAAGACAGTTACAAAGAAAACTTAAAGCGAATGAGCCTAAATAATAAACTAGACTACAAATCTCCAAACCATGACAATATCAAATAAACACAGGAAAAACAACAGCACAAAACCAAATCCTAACATTGCTTCTCTGAGTTTAGTGCTCTCCAGGTCCGAAAGTAGGAGTGCTCACAACGCTATGAACCAATGAAGATGTTATTAGATAACAATCCATAACTGCTTTTCACCCACTATATCTCAAAGGTAACACACACTTATTCTTACCTATCATTCTCCATTATATATCTACAATGTGTACACCTTATCATATCCTAACATAGAGATTAACCTGATCCTGAGCTGGTGTGGCCTGTCACACTGTCAGTAGTCCACAGACAACTATTGTTGTCTATGGTATTGGCTCATTTGTAATGTAATTATATAAATGTTGCTGCTGATATAACAGAACTTCATATGCGCCTTTGAAATGCGAAATGGTAAATCAACTAAATAAAAAATTTTACTGGTTAAAAAAAAAGAAGATAAGTGGACTCTAATGAGTTCCGTAAAACTACCGTCTCTTCTCAGTACTGAGCTGGAACATTCATACAAATCGTTCTGTTCAAACTGAACAGGCCTGCTGACAGATGAATACTGCATCAAGAGAGAAAAACAAAAGGTGATGCACAGCCAAAGATGATGTGTTTCATGCGCAATCCACTGATTTACATTTTCCTGTTAACTGTCAAAGCTCTGTTATTCCTCATGGTAGTGTGGTGTCATATATAATGGATGAATATGGTTTCAGCAGTTTTAAAATTTTGTTGCAAAATTTAGGAATCATTTTCTGTTAAAGGTACTTCAACAAGAGCTGCATAAATAAATTTCTTTCAAATATAAAGCCACACAGATTTTGAGAGCACCATTGACTCAAGTACTTTAATATTCCTCAGTATGATAATAAAATGACTGAATTGGCAATTCTTGTCATTCCAGGAGAGTTTTGTCAAGAACAAAAAAAAAGTGTTATATAAAAACAACAACAATAACAAGCAAACTAGATCTATTGGCAGCCAATAATTGTGGGATTTTTCATTAACTAAACTTCAACACAAGTAAAAAGAAATAAAATACTTATTGTCAATTTTAGAATTTTATTTTAAAGAGGTCCTGAATGAGCGGCCCGTGAAACTTCCAAAATACTGCTTCTTTGTATGAACAAACAACTGATTTAACACACACCACATTTCGTGGCAAAATCAATTTATTCAGTAGTAAATCCATGAAAAATATTTGCATTGAGTTCAACTTGAATGTGAACTTTGACATTAAAATTTGTGCCATGGACCAATTAATGCTTATCTTGGTGAGAACAGAGATCTGAAGAATCCAAAATGGAGGAAACTATTGTAGCTGACTCTAGTGCTTTACAAAAAAGGAATGGTTTGCAGATAGTTGTAAGATAGGATACGTCTAATACGTCTCTTATACTATATAATCTGTGTTACTGTTCCGTTAGCATCTGAGCTTGGCTAAGCTAAAGAGCTTGTTAACTGACAGCTAGTTTCACTGTAAGTAGCAGTGAGCAACTTCATCTCTAAGCAAAAATGGCATATACTTGACTGCACTGGATATTTCCTACATTTTTACCATTTCACCTACACATACAAGCAGGGCTGGCCCGGAGTATAGAATATAACGCAGTAAGGCTTTCAGGCATTCTGCAGCTATTGCTTTTAAATATGTTTTCTCCTGTAGATCAACTTTTCTAATTTAATGAAATCCCTGCTGAGTCAGTACACATGCTTAGCCTTCCTTTCTCTTTTGAGTCTCCGTTTGGGGAAATAACCTCTTTTAATAGGCCTACATGGGACCTTTTCACCTCAATGAAAAATGTAATGTTATAAACTCAGTGTTTCAGCAGGTTTTCTGTTCATCTTCAAAATCCTCTTTCTGCACATTCAGAATATCTCCTATAGTGTTCTCTGACATGTCCAAAACAAAAATCGCAATATTACGAGACTAACGTCATCATTTAATGAGAATTCATAATATTTTTAAATCTACCTGGCCTCCACTGGTATACAGCCTATCCCCTTTAGACCACTAGACCAACAGGATAGGACTCCATGCTGCATGTGAAACCGAAACCAACCAATAAAAACTGCTGATCAAACAGAAATCTCACCAGAAATCCACACACATTAACTTCAGCAGCTCACAGTCCAAAACAGAGCAAGGCTGCGCCTGTCTGGACTCACAGCACAAGGTGCACATGATTAAAATTGCCCTTGCATCAGCTGATTCACGCGGAGTCAAACTTTTTCTTGCGGTGCCCCCTGACATTTTGCGCCCTAGCCCTTTACCGGCTATGTCACCTATGCCACAATCTGTGTTATAGAGAAGTTGGTACTTTTCAGCTTCACGGTCTCCTTCTTTTGTAGTGGGAGCCATTTAAGAATTGGCACAAGGCTTCTGGCACACAATGTGTCTTCATAATATGGCTCATCTTGTGCCTGTTTGGCATCACTAGCCAAGAAATTAAAAGGGGCAGGCTGGTTGCATCCATGGCACCTGATTCCTGGGTTGCTCCAAGAACATTCAGCTACAGCTGAGACAGAGGGTGAACAGTGGACTGGGGCACTAGCAAGAGAAACAGTGGGCACAGGAGGGTAAGGCATGGGGGCTGTGGCAGTGCAGAGAGGTATGGATGGTATCACCGAAGCCATGGTGCTAGAGAGGGGCTCCATGTCTTTAATGATGGAGAGAGGAAAAAGGACTGCAATGGGCAGAAATGTTAGAGAGAGTCATTGGACCCCAGGCAGTGTAGACAGGCAAAGGGTCGATGGCGCTGGAGTCATGGGGGCTGGATCAGTAAGAACCATGGAGCTAAAAATGTTCACAGCAGGCATGAACTCATTGATGTTGGCAGCAGGAGACAAGGCCATGATGGTGTTGGCAGGCAGGGAGGCCTCAGCAGCTAAAAGTAAATTACAGTTGGTGTCTCTCAGGTTGTAAAATAAAAAAAGGGTCCAAGAAAGACAGAATCTGCAGGAACTTCCAGAGCTGTCATCTTGTCACAGCTGCCTCAGTCCAGGCCAGTCCCTTAGCCCACACCGGTTTGATAGCAGTCAGTATATTATTCCAACTTATGTTTGTGACTCATGAGGAGGGATTGTCATCTGTAGGGTGCTTCACATCAATGACAGTGTGTCCCTGAACACATTGAGATTGCCTGATGTAGCTTTTGAAGAGCTTTTAATACAGCTTAGGCCAGATGCATAAAGCTCTGTATAGATTCACAACTAAAACTCTGTGTACATACAAAGGCAGACACACATTCTTTTCATGAGATTTATAAAGCTGTGTTACAGATGAACCACAGTGCATGTACACTATAGATGTCCTGCAGTCAGTTTTAGTGTTCTTGCAAGCCACTTTTTATCTTATGAGATGTTGCCCTGTTGCACACTTGGACACAAAGGGGACTTCCAGGCATGCATAAGTTTACAATAACTCCTTTACTTTTGTATTCTGTGAATACAGAAACACAAGCACATCAGCAGAACGTTGTCTCTACGTACAGCAGGCTGTTTATGTCTACTGACTGACGTGTGTGCCCTCCTGTCTAACCCGAAGGACCCCACACGCTGCCCAAAGTGCCTGTGTGAGCCTTACACATTATACCCATAAACTGACCTACTGAAATATTACAGTTATTATTGTACGATAGCACATACAGTGCCTTGCGAAAGTATTCGGCCCCCTTGAACATTTCGACCTTTTGCCACATTGCAGGCTTCAAACATAAAGATATAAAACTGTAATTTTTTGTGAAGAAATGTAGTCTGCACACTTGTTTATCAAACATGACTACACTGCTCTTTTAAATAATCACAGCACAAATGCTCATATTTTTATCTACAATGGTGACTTTTCTTTATTAGTGAATATAAACAGAAGAAAATCTCAACATTCTTCTTATTTGCATGTTTTTATGTTTCTGATATGAGAGCTTTGCAGGTTTTATGGTTTTCCTTTGTTATTTTAGCCTTTTGTTTTTGATTTGGAGTTTTTTGTTAAAACCCTGCTAATTAATTTTGTTAGTAGTTGTTTGCACGAAACCACACTTCTTTTGTCACCTGCCTAATTTGCAATTGGTTTTGTTTGCCACTCTTATGTGAATGTATTCACACTCTGCATGTTGATTTGATTACATATTTGTTGCTTCTGTTTGGTGCTATAGTGCTAACTATATTCAGTGCTGAAACACAAAGAATGGTGACCCATCCAGAAAGTACCCTGCTTCTTATCCCCAGTGGATGGATTTTTAGTCCATGGCTGTGATGTTTTAATGCCACTGTTTTTTTCATTTTAACCTTAATCAGTGCCAGTGCAAGTTTTGCCAATACAAGTTTCTTAAAGTCAGTGTCTTTTTTCCTCTTCAAGTTATGATTTCAGTGTCAGTGCCCTTTTGTTTAACGCCAAAATACTGTTTTAAAACACCATTGTTTTGGCTTCATACATTGCACCATTTAAAGAGGTGGTAATGCTCATTTTCAGGTTCATCATTCTATTTAGGGGTTGTACCAGAACAGGTTCACATGGTTTCATTTTCAAACACCATATGTTTGTCATACTGCACATCGTTGCAGCTTTCCTCTTTTGCATATGCACAGTTCCTAGTTAAGGACTACTAGCCTTCGGTTCAGCTGTATATGTTCCCCTTACCAGCTTAGCAACATGGACTGGAGCAAGAGTCTCAGAGTGGTGAGTTATTAATGTGTAACAAAAATATCTTTCATCCATAAAGTTTTAACTGAGCTCTGTCTCTACATCACATTAACAACTTTATGTCCATTGAATGCCTGGAGGGTAGCTAGCGTTTGGAAGGGAGAGGTGAGGTGTGTGCTGCAGCTCAGAAGTTTTCCACTGGTGTGTCAGACTAGCCGCTAGGCGAGCATTATGACGTGTGTTTTCTTGTGACGTCACAAGAAAGCAGAAGAAAAGGCTGGACTGGATAAATTAATTCATTTTAATTCAGTTAGAAACTCCTGGACTGAATGTTCAAAACTTTTTGCATCTATCCCACAGAATTGTGTAATCTGACATGTCCAGAAAGATTTCTTAAAACATCATCATTTAATCACAATTCACAATATTTTTCAAAATCTCCCCGCCCTATAATCTGCTGTACTTGCTCTGCTAATATGATAGAATCCCAGACAGTCCCCGTTTGGGACTGTATAGATGAGACCTGTGCAAAACAAAACTAACTGAAAACATTTCACCACAAATCCAAACATGTTAACTTCAGCAGCTCTGTGCAGCTCACATTCCAAACAGAGCAAGGCTGTCCTTCAGAGAAAATTGATGTATGGCGTGTGAAAAGTGTCAATAGCGAGAGTCTCACGCTCAATGCGTGAGAGTTGGCTGCTCTGGGTTAAGTAAGGGAGAGGGCAGTTAAGTGACTAAACTCTTGTTAAGCCTAGTTCACAGTACCGATTTGCCGGTTGGCGAGCTCTGTGACTGTCGGGCTGTGATCAGGGTAAATCGGTGAGTGATCGGAGGTCGGCAGTCGTTATGTGTGAACTACTCAAGCATGGCTCCCCAACACATTTCTGACACATCACCGACATCTGCCAGATATCTAGCATGCCAAATATATGGAAGAGTTGGCCAACTCGACATCCACATCCAGCCAATGAGAGCAGGCAGCTACTTTTCACCGCAAAACACTTTTTACTCACCTCCAGCTCTCTCTGTAGCTCAGTCAATCCCTGCTACCTGCGTGTGCTAATCCATTCTTTCACTGATATTCTTTGTCCTTATAATTGCTATATTTAGAATAACAAACAACAGTAGTTTTGCATGTATGTTCGCGTCATTTCCCATTTCATATTTCACATGTGTTTCCTTGACAAAACATGGTTTGGATACCAGCGTCGGGTGACACAGCCGCTGTCAGCTCGTGTAGTGTGTGACCCCCTGTCACCGATCAGTCACGTAGTGTGAACGACTTCAAGACTCCCCTCACAAGATGGCAAGTTGTGTAGTGTGAACAGCACAGCCATTGGCCGACACTGAAAGTCGTGTAGTCTGCACGAGCCTTTAATGTGCATTGTCATGTAAGTACAAGACAATTACACCTCTGACGCCAGACATCCTCAAAGGTGCATCTTCCATTGATCTGAATTAATGCAACTTTGCATGTGCTGTCCTTTGGTATAGGTGTGATCTGTAATTAGTTGAGTTATCTTTCCATATCTGGATAACATGTACATCCCTGCATCATTATTAAATCACTTGACAATCCATGTAGTTCCTACTTTCATGGTATTTCCCTTAGCTTATTCATCAAAAGTGATTTCCTGCCTTAAAGTGTCATCAATTCACAGACTTGAACAGCTTGTGTTTACGGTATTTGATGCTAAAAGATAGTCCCCATAGGAGTCCTATCAAATACATACCACTACGATGTATGAGGTTTATAATGATAGTAGTTTAGAACAGACCAGCAGAGTCGCTGAAAGGGAAATCAAATGCAGCAGATTTCACTTATCATATTAGATTACTCGTTTGTGACATTGTAAATTGAGACAAACAGCTGTTCATGTAGCCGATTAATTCACCCACGCTCTTTGAAGTTCTGTCTTCCAGTGTCCTCATTTGTAATTTCAACACCTTTAAAATGATTTTAACCCCGTTTGAATGCTGAAATGATGGATCAACATTGCCCCTAGTCTATTTTCCCACACATGTACAAACACACACAAATACACATTCACCCTTGGTTCCACTCCAATGTAATTTACAACTGGGATGGCCGCCATCTCTGAAATGGGCTCTCGGTTTGTTTGGAAGAGAAACGACATACATAGCTGCAGCCAGAGGCAACTTGTCTGTCAACAGTGAGCAAAATAATCTCTATTAATCATTTACAACTTATTCTCATCAATTATTTCTATTTTCTGTCAAATAACATACACAGGAACATGAAGGTGCTGTGCAACAATGGACTCATTCCAGTTGAATATTCCTGGGAGCTTTGACAGGCCACCCCTGTAACTGTGAGTATCAGTTTTAGTTAATCCATCCAGAGGCTGCATTATGTCCCTTTCTGAAACATATTTCCTCTAGCTATAATCCTGCTGAACCATTTACTTGTTCTTCATCCTGCTAGCCTTCAATCTTGCTTTCTTCCAGAGGAATCACAAACACTGTGTCTGTTCTATCCACAGGGGAGGATTACAAAGGGTTTCGTGCAGAGGAGAAATGTCTAATGCACTAATGTACCTTGCTCTGGTATTGTGACTGAAGCCTGTGTGTGTGCAAGTTTGTGTGTGTTTCCGTGACGTCTCTGAAATCTGCTCATTGTATCCCAGCAGAGCTGTACTGTACATCAACTGACAATTTGTCAGTTAATGTACCTCTTCTTTGTTGCAGGGATACCGTCAGATGATGCTCCAAAATTTGTCTGTGTGGACTCTCAGCTGTTTTGCATCCTCTCATTGCACCACTGGGGTTCTCCAAAGCCCTTGTAGTCCCCATCACAATGACTAAACCCCACCTTTAGAGCTTCTTTGGTGACAGAATCGGGACAGCTCCACCATCAGCAGGATCAAAGCCGCAGCAAGACAGAGATGGATTAATAAGTAAAGAAAAGTGCAACAGAACAAGAAAGGCGCCCAGATCGCACAAAGGCGGTAAAGTCACCTGGGGCCTCCAGAGGAGAAGAAGTTTTCAGACGTGTTTGTTTTGCTGTACTTGCCGAAAGAGTTTCTGTGCATGAGTGTCTACCATTCCAGGAACAGCAGGAGCAGAGGAGGAAGGAAGATGGACTGCCACTGCTGTAGCTGGCATACAGAAGTTTGAAGAGCAAAAGAAGGCATGTGCTTACACCGGCATTCACCCAGCATGCCGCTGTTCATTATTCCACCAATCTGTCAGCTCCTACTCCTGAATCATCGTGGTGACACAGAAGGAGGCGCGGCCAAGCCCCCCAGTCCCGTACAGTTATTTTTGATGTTTGAGGATATGAATGGTTCATTGATTGCAAGAGAACGTGAACAATACACATTGATATGCATGAGAAAAGATTTGAAGTGTGTTCAAGCTTCATGCCTTGGATGTCTACTCATGAGTCATATGATTCGAATTTTTCTTATGTGTTGCACTTTGTCTTTTCCCACATTTGTTCTGTTTCCTAATTCTCTTTCTCTCTGTCCCTTGCTTGTTCTATAATTTCTCCTATCCATATGTGTCCCAGTGCCTCAGGACAGCCTGTTGAGTTTAACACTGTCTACAGCACGACATCTGTCATAACTGCAATAGAAATTCTTATCTCAGAAGATCATTTTGAGGCTGAGGCCCTACTCCTAGTATCAGAGTAGAATACAGCTACAGGCTCCGACGCTCTGTTTCCCCTGCAGTCAATCACGATGAAGTTCAACTCTATTTATTAAAAAACAGCAAAGCCTGATGATAAGGGATAAGTTATTTTTTTCTTTTTTGGTATCAAATATGTCCTGCTTGCAGCAAGGGGTTTATCAGATGCTCAGAAGTTTATGAGGCATCACTGTTTATCAGCTGCTATCTGGTGATTAAGTATAATCTTTATGACACCCGAAAAACAGCTGTAAAATTTACAGAGCGGCGGGAAGGTCACCCTGCTGATGGGCTGTGGCTAACTGCTGCCGGAGTCGATCGCCTCTCCGTTGTCTCGCCAGGCGCAACCAATCGAGGCCTTAACCCGCCCAGCCACTCGTGTCACAACAACCCAACACCTATCATGGTTTATTACCAAAGACACACAAACAGAAACAAGCACATGAACGCACAAAATAATCCGTTGAAGTGCAGGCGTTCCTGTGCTGCTATGGGATGGCATCCTAGCACTTTATGAAGTCTGAGCCAAAACACACAAACACCAAACTCCCACACTTATAGTGAATTTGTATGACCCAGGAGTGAGGGCGAGGCATAATGAAGCTAGCTCTGCTCCCTTCCTAATCTGGTCTGACAGGGCCTGACTCCGAGAGTATGATTAATGTGAGCTGCAGCTGCAGCTGGACGCATTTAATGTCATCTGCAATATCACCCAGCTCCAACAAATGAGGGCCCAAATGCCATAAATTCCTGTGGCACGTTGTCCATATCCATTAACAAACAATTTATTGCAGAGGTGAGAATTTTGTTGTTATTTTTTGTTCTGTGGTGCCTCCGTATCCATCAGTCAGTCAGCCCCTGAGCCCTGGAGTGGCATAGAACGTCAAGGAGTGATAGCCTGTATACAGCTGCCATGAATCATTCCTCTAGTATTCGCTCATTAACCAGGTGGTGGTTTGAATTAGTCTTTTCACAGGACTCGCCTGGTTTTCCCCTGAGGAGGCAGAAGGGAAACAACCTGAGCATATGGGCTATGAGCATTCATACTGGAGTCTGTTAACTTGTGTGCCCATGAGTAAAGCCAGTGTTTATGGGTGTGAGTGGTAAGGAGCACCTTATAATGAGAAGGGAAATGCCATTGGTCAAAGGAGTGATTAATTCAAGGATTCAGAGCTCAGAACAGCTGTACTTGTCCCAGGGTTCATGAAATTCCTCTGCTATCATTAAAAAGTCAACATTAGTATAAAGGAGTTCACAAAGTTGGATCCAAGCTGTGAATAAGCCGATGAATTTTAATATGAGCAAAACTTTCTTAGCTTCCTCAGCTGTGCCTGACCTTGGGGCTTAATCTTCAAGTGTTTTGTTTGCTTGTTTGCTTTGTCTTTCATAAAATCCCACCTCATGGTCCCATCTTGATAATGTTACACTCACCACCAAATAGGCCACCTTTATGTGTTTTGAAGAGTGTGAAAAGCTGCTTTTCAAATCTAGTTCTAAACTCAACAGAGCCATGAAAGTCAGACTAAACAAATGGTTTAAGGCTCAAATGGATAAAGTAGCATGTAGTTGATGTTTCACAGCATTGCCCTGGATTCAGCATCTGCCACACCTTACATAGATGACACCTCCCACCCCACACACACACCCCACCCCTCTCTCCCCTGCAGACTCAGCCATACAATATTTTTCTCATTCACTGCACGTTGCATGGTACCACATATCTTAATCTGAAGAGACGGTTCCATTTCAGCTCAATCCCGATAACCTTCCCATTCATCGCTCCCCACGTACACCTTCAGTGAAAAGAGGGAAGCACCCAGAAATAGAAATGAAAGAAGATGATTTCAGTGGCTGAATCATAGATTTAGAGGGAACAACTTGAGAAAAGAAGAAAGAGCAAGTAGAGAGAGGAATAAAGAGAAGGGAGCAAGTTAAGACGAGAAGACAGGAAATGGGGAGACGCGCAGAGAGAAAAATAACTACTGTGTTTGGCTCTGTGGCATATTAACTTTCTTGGGTTAGAGTATTAGAACAGAATCTTATTGCCGCCTCTTGGTTAAAAATACGAGGGAGCAGCCTTTCAATATTTGCGACGAGGTGAACATAATGTTGTGTCATGACAAATGGACTGGTTAAATACTCCACTCCTTCTATATCATCTTGTTTAAAAAGCAATCAGTCTGCTTCCCTGTTTTAAAAGACAAACCCCAAGGGAGCATCCGGAATTTGAGAGACAAATGAGGTTCAAATCGGAAACGAAATAGTCTAGAGGAAAGTAATGAGTGGATCCCGCTTTTCTGATGAGCTTTATGCTGCTGACAAATTACTGGAAGACTTAATATAGAGTTCTGATAGACTGCAATGGTAAGAAACCCTATGGAGACTGAAGGCCTATAGGCTCTTTTCAATTTTTCTATTGTCTCCTGGAATGAAAACATAAAGGAGGCTAATAAAGAGTGGCCTTGATTTAAATGTCATTGAGGCAGGTTTTCGTTGCCATGGAAACATTTCAGTCAGACTTTGTTGATGTGATGTCTGGTTGATTGTCTCGAGCAGACCGAAATAGGCCACAGAGGCTATATTTGAGTGTTACTGTTACTGTATTTGTCCCCTCCTAATAGGTATCCTCAGCAGGGCTTTTGGTAAAATGAAGGAGTACACGGTGTTTGTGTAAGAGTGAAAAAAGGAGGGAATAACAATAACAATAGCTACTCACCTTTTCCCTACCAGTGGGGTGACAGAGCAGCGAGATGTGTGGTTTTGGTCCTCAGGCTGCCAGAAATGTCAGCAACACAAACCGGTGGTCACCAGCGGAGGTGGCAGGAGGGAGGACAGAATGCTGATGAGAAAGCTGGAAGGAGCAAAGCCTTTGCTCACAGCACATGCTACACGCCCCCAGAGGCATATGTGTAAACAGACGGCGAAATTCACCGACATGCTCGGACATAAGTAGTCACAGTGCAGACTCAAAGGAGATAAAATACACAGACTCACATATATACATGCACAAATGCATACAGTAGCCTTAGTCTGACCTCTGCGGCTCTGATAGCTGAGAACCGGCTGTCACTGAGCTGTTGTAGAGAGCAGCAGGAGCAGACAGACCTTCTGAGGGAGCTGACCTTTTTTGCTGCACCTCTGACCTTTTGTGGATAACCTGTTCAGCTCAGCTACATCCACAGGGAATGTTTGCTCTCTCAAGCTGTTCACAGTCCCATTTGCTCACTCAATGAACAAACTGCATTGCTGATGCAGTGGATAGGCTGTGTGGCTTATGAAGAATAGATAAATAATCTGAAAGAAACTGAAAAAAGTAATAGATAAATAACAATAAAGAAGCTCCAAGATACACTAGCACCAACTCAAACTGGATTACACCTCAAGGGATACGTCAGACTGAATATTTTAACGTGTTAAAACCTGCCAGTGGGTCAGTCATTACAAAGTCATGCTCTGGGGCCAAACATTGTTCAAACTCACAGAACTTTTCCTTTAAAATTCAAGTCAAGATCATAAAGTTTCCAAAGTGTGGGCGTGTAATGAATAACCTACACAAGTCAAAAATTCAGCTACAGTAAGACACAACCACAGATCCGTCCAAAATTCTGCATGAAGTTCAGGAAAATGTTTGACGCAGCTGTGGAAAAAAAGTATTTTCAAGGGACTCTCTGTCTCGGCCTCTAGCATGTGCCCCTCTCCTGCTAGCTTGCTACAAACACATGCCGTGTCAAGCTATCTACAACATTCCTGCCCTTACTACTGTGTACAAAGTGTAAAAATGTTTCAAATGTCGCTGCTCATTTAGCATGGACACATAATCGGCAGCAAACTTACTGAGGGGAGCAGTCAACATAAGGTGTGCAAAGCTAGCGTTAGCAGCTACCTCTAGCAGTTAGCTAGAACTAAAGACCCGATCAGACAGAATGCGTTTTTTCAGTGAGAGGCGACTTTTTAAAATTGTTTTCTATTGGCAGTAAACGTCCTGCATGCTGTTTATGCGCCCTGGGCGCCTCGCGTTTTGCGATTTCAAAGGAGCACTCTGAGCGCAAGAATTTTTTGAAAATTCAACTCTAAGCAGAAAAGCGCATCATTAGCGTTTTTTTCCTTGTCCAATCAAATGAATGAAGAGGGGGGCCCTCCGTTGTGGTGACGGAAGTTTACAGTTGTTTGGATTGTCCAGAGACTGCAGCAAACTGTTCCCGAGTCATCCTAAAATAAGCCTTGAACCGACCATCCTTAAGACAAAGCTACTGGACCAGCTGGTGGTACTGCCAGCGGTGTCTCCTCTTTCTGAGGGTCTCATGTACCCACACGGTTTCCCTGTCTGCTGCATGTTTCTACACCTCTCACCCTCAAACAATGCCAGAGCAAGCGCCCACCGTCTATTTTTTTTAAAGCAGATGTTTTTAACAACAAAAGACGCAGAACTGTGAGTTGTGATCAAGTTTCTTCTAACATGACAGTTATCACTTAGCAGCAAACAAAAGATTACAGATCGCTGGCGCTATAATCTTTGATTAGACTGACAGGACAGCTGATTTGGTGGTTGCTTAGCAACAGAAAAAAAAGCAGCGCACTGCTCTTTTCCAAATTCAGCCAAAAAAGGCATTGCTGTGCGCCTCGCATTTCAAACCTGCAAAGCACTTTCTGTCTGATCGGGGCCTAACGCCTCCCAGATATAGAAGCCAAGTGTTGTTCATTTACAGGGATATGCTGCCATACACTGACGCAGGAACTCAGGTAAACATCACACAATCAGTGGAATTTTAGTGAAAGATTCATCCTCCATGGGGACTGGCTAAAAAGTTAACCAGTTAATTGCTGCCCATGTTTACTGTTGTTGATGACAAAATTTGCAGACAGATTCAGTATTTGAAATAAAAAATAAAACTTGATTATGTATTCACACTTTTCGTCGTATAATTACTAGTTAACTACGAGTTATTTATGTTGGGTTGTTTTATCAGATCGCAGACTGTGCATCTAGTAGACGCAGCAAATCATCTGAGAGGAAGACATACACACCCTGCTATAAATATGTCAGACTGAATTTTAGAGAATTGATAATAAAATGATGTTAAAGTAAAGAGTTAC